TCATAGAAGGCCACCAAATTTGTCAGGCATGACTTGCCCTTGGTGAAGCCATGCTGGCTGTCACCAATCACCTCTTTGTTTTCTATGTGCCTCAGCAGAGTTTCCAGGAGGATCTGCTCCATGATCTTGCCAGGCACAGAGGTGAGACTGACTGGCCTGTAGTTCCTTGGGTCCTCCTTCTTTCCCTTTTTGAAAATAGGGGTTATGTTTCCCCTTTTCCAGCCGGCAGGAACCTCGTCAGACTGCCACGACTTCTCAAATATGATGGCCAGTGGTTTAGCGACTTCATCCGCCAGTTCCCTCAGGACCCGTGGATGTATCTCGCACTTGATGTTCACCTACAGTGGGTGGTTCTTCATTTTCCCAATCCTTTGCCTTTGAATTCTGCATCATGGGCAGTGTGGCTGCAGTCCTTGCCAGTGAAGACTGAGGCAAAAATTCGTTGAGGACCTCAGCTCTGTCTCTGTCACTAATCTAGATCCCAAATAGAAGAAAACAGAGGTTTCTGTTTCTTCGAGAACGAAGAGAACTTTTGATGTTTATTTTTCTGCACCCTAAAGAGAGAGAAAAGAGGGTCCAAAATAGTGTCATTGTGGAATGATCCAACTAAGAGAGGGGAATTCAACCTTATAGTGACCTTTCATCTTCCTTCAGCCATGTATCAAATTTTTCCTACTGCTCTGAATTTAAGTAATTTAGAAAACACTTCTTTAATAGTGTTTAAAGCTCTTATTGCCAGATAAAGAACAAGGACTAATCATACGACTGAGTATTTATGATTCATTCCTAGCAATGTCCCTTGTATATATGCCCCTCAAATCAATTACTACTCCAAAGTCAGATTACTTGAGAGCTTAATGTATAATATCGCACACAGGAAATACAAATTCTTTATTTGCAAGTAAATTAACAAGCTATCATTCTTATTATATGTATATATATGTTTTAATACATTTTTTAAAAAATATATATTTTAAAAGAATATAAATGTTAACCTAGCATACTGAAATACATATTTTATTAAGCACAAGGAAATATTAAGCTAGATTCATGTATAGAAGAGCTTTTATTTTAGTGTGTATCGTGGTTTAGGCCAAATCGGCTACTGGGGACCTGGGGGACCCCAGATGGGACCGACAGATGCTCCCCTCTACCCCTCTTCAAAGGCAGAGGCAGAGGAGGGAAAAAGAAACATATGAGTTTAGAAGGAACTAAACTACTTTAATGAAATATTAATAATAAAATAAAAAAGAAATAATGAAATATATACAAAACCGTATCAAGCTCCCGAGATGACAATCACGACACCAGCTGGTACTGGGGCAGTCCCAGGCTGGACTCAGTGACGGATGGGAACTGGATTACAGATCTACATTGAGGGTTGGTATCAAAGGCAGATGAGCAGACAGAGTCCTCCTCAGACATTGGCCATTGAAGAAAGAGAGAGCTGACCCTTTGATCCCTCAGCTTTTATACTGAGCATGAGGCAGATGGGATGGAATACCCTGTTGGTCAGTTTTGGGTCACCTGTCCTGTCTGCTCCTCCCTGCAGGTGGAACCCCACTACACTCTTCTGCTTCCAACCCTCAAACAGGGCAAGTAACAAAGTTGATTGGCCTTGGTTGTTATAGCAATAAGTATAAGCAAGAGCCTCTCTGCATACCATGCCTTGGCATCAGCTATAGACATAGGTCTTATCACTCTGAGAGCGAACATTGCCCAATATGCAGTTAATTTCAGTAGTTAGAAGAGGCCTAGCTAAGAAGCAAAGTAACTGAACAAAATTGGTCCTGTTTTACCTCAAACTAGTACAGTGTGTGTCACTTTTAAAAGCGAACATTGCCTTCTTTACTAATTGCTTTCCAGCGTTTTTTTTTTAAAGGAACAGGGAAACCAGTAATAAGACTATATTTCTTAAAAAGACAGTAGAGGGACCCCCTTAATAGGGCAATCAGTTTCCTATCTGAGTTTCTCCATTGTCATACTTGAAGTTTCTACTATATATGAGATTGAAAAAGAGAAGTAATTCAAATGTGACCAGAATGAGTCTCTCTGTAGCTGTGTTTCATGGACTAATGTGGGAAACTGGCTAGCTGAGAAGGGGAACATAGATATGATCCAGCTGGCTGAGCAGGAGCTTGGGAAACATCGGACACAGCTCCTGTGATTGCTAAATTGGCAAGGACACCCTAACCCTGACTGCAGGTGCTACACGGTAATGAGAAGCCTGTGATTACTCAGGCATGGGAAAAGAGGGAGTAGCTGCATGGGAAAAGAAGAGGTAACTAGCCGCGGATAAGGAGCTAAGGGCTGGAGTGATGAACCAATCAGAATGCTGTGTTGTGGAACACATATAACTAATTATAGCAGAGTATATATGAAACATGTAGTAGCTAATTATAGTAGGGTATATATGGAATATGTTTTAGCCAATTATAAAAGACAGCTGTGCTATTCAATAAACGAAGCTTGCTGATCACTCACATTGAGTATGCCTGTCTGCTCTCCGTCGCAACAGACTAACAAAAGATAATTAACAAAACTATAATTTTCTATTATGTTTTTTTTGAGAACAAAGTAGACTAACAGCTAGGTTCCAGTGGTCTGCTTACTTTACTCCTAAATTAATGCAAAATGACTTCTCAAAGCTTCAGCATGAGTTTTAACTGCCTTTTTGACACAGTGCTGTGCAGTTACAATTTTACTGAAGATGCATCACACAAAGATCTACATGTGAAGATAAAAGGTGAGTGGTCTAAAGCAGGCTAAGAAGAGCTAAGAAAGAAAAGATCATTTTATCCAAGAAGTCATTTTATGATACAGTGTCAGAATCTGCATATATAACAACCTTAGTACGCAAAGTGGATCTTCCAACTGTATTTCTATATAGTTCTTTCTGAGAGCAGTTGAACCAGTAAAATTTAATGGGCTCCATGTTTTCCTAATGAGCTTATTTTCTTCAAACATATGTGTTCACTTCTCAAACTGAAACAATAGTCAT